GCTAGTTCTAGGATTGATTCCTAGTGCCCTTATTTTTATTTTTGAGTACTATTTCAGCCTTCTCTTATTATTTTTCGAAAAAATGCCTTTGTAGAGCTTATGTATGGAGGATGGGCTCTTTTATATAAAACAATTAAATTTTAGTATTTTTATTATTTTCCCAACAAATGCCTCTATAGAGCTTATGCATGGAGGATGAGCTCTTTTACAAAGAACATTTATAATTTAATTTTTTTATAAGGGTAATATGAGCTTTTTTGTACTTATGTATTACTTAAAGGATTCTAACTTGGGAATTCCATGTTCAAAATAGTAGTATTACCACTAAACTAAACCCATGTTCGTTTTATCCATCAATTATCCGTGAATGTTGAATTGGTTGGTAGTGATATCCTGTAAACTATATCATTTTGATATTACTTTAGTCATTTTATGACATGAATTATACAGTTATACAATTATAATAAGTAAATTAATGCTTGAAATGTAAAAAAAATCTAATTATAACACTTTCGTCTCTGAAACTACTAATACACATTATTTTAACTTTACCACACAAAAACAAGGTTTTTGAAATTATATTTAGTGGAAAATAGGCCATTTAACAATTATTCATAAATTAATCACTCAACATTCAACTAAACTCGTATATGAAAAATGTCATTTTGTAGCTTGCAGTTGCAAAAGGTAAAATAAACACTAATTTAATATGGGAAAGTTGGAAAGGGAAGCCGAAAGGGTGGCCACAAGCGTCAAAGTGGAAGTTTGAATGAGAATGATGATATACCTGGCGCCGAAAATTGGAGGGTGGCGACAGGAATCAACGTGGAAAGAAATAACTAAACTAGAAAGTAAGTTGAAAATTAACTTAAAGAAAAATCTATGAAAGAAGTTTCGGATAAAGACTCTTGAAATTCACTATCTAATTACTTGACTCAAATCTTTGGAAATAAATAATTTTTATTCCTTCTCGTGTCAACTTCCTACCATATGTTTGGCAATAGTTGATCCTCGTGAAGGTAACCCCAAATAAATACTTCATTAGCATCCATCGGCCGGGAACCAAATCCTACCCTAGCTATTTGTCTCTTATCAATCCACACTAAGTCTATTAAATGAAATTACCAATCCCACTTGGTCGGTTACTTTAACTGCCTCTCTATGTATATCCCTTGTGTCCCATACGTGTCCAGTCCAATTGAATTCATTCATGGGTTTCATTATTTCTAGACCACAAATGGCCCAGAAGCTTATCTCACGTATAGTTATACACACACATATATGTTCTTGTTTTTACCCATTAATCACACTGCATCCATCCATATGTTTGGTAAATAGCCTGCCACAATCCCCAGTGACCGATCCATTTTTACCGTTAAAGTCAACTAGGGATAAATCCCTTACCTCCAGGCTCCAGCCCCTTCAAGAAGCTAGCGCTGAGCGGCAGAAACGAGCATTGCTGGTGACGTATGCGGCAGCTGCTGGCTTGCGTTGGTGGACTGGAGGATATGAATATGATGATGGAGTTGCGATGGAAAAGAGATGAGGGTTTCCGCACTTGTGCAGCGCCATTAGCTTTCTTATGCTCCTCAATCAGACCTCGTCCCTCTCCACCGTAGACGCTTGCTCTCCTTCTTTTGATTTACGCTTGGTAACCCTAATGCAAACTCTCTATTTATCCCTCTTTATAATTTTCACTCTCATTCTAAAGCCCTAATAATGATTCACAACCCAATTTGGCAGTCCATGCCTTTCAATGACCAAGTTCCAATGGCCCACACTACTAACACCGTCCTTTTTACTTTGGACTCCTCTTAAACTATACCCACCACGTGACCAATCTGAAGTTGGTATCTTTCTTTTCATTATCTTGTCGTAGGAGAAACCTGGTTCATAAATCGCAATCTCAGCCTAATTGAGTAATTGGACCTTGATCATTTGGTTGATCTGGTTCGAGTTTTTGTAAGTAACCGTGAATGAACTCATGCATTTATTATCGGTTGAACTCAAAACCCAAAAGTTGAGGAGTTACACGACTTTTTTTTTTTTTTTGGGGTGTTATACGACCTTTCCTTCATTTCCAAACCGCAGTGGAAACAAAATAAAAAAATAACCCCAGCCCCTTGTTCCACTAGTCGTTGTCCGCGTGCATAAGAAATCTCGGCCACTTTCCCCGCTTCCATCGACCAGTCGAGCGACGAGGCTCTTGCCTCCAGTCATGATTGCCATCATTCGAAAGGTAAGGACGATAAACTCTAAATCGCTTCCAAGTTTGTTTAACCAATCAAACTAACCCAAACCCATTAATCGTGAACAGTAGCATGACGACAAGGAATCAGAGTTTAATTGGTGGCCAATCAAAGAATCGATCTCCGTTGCGTGGCCACCTTCAATACTAGCCACATTTCCCTTCACGAATCAGGGTGGAACACCCCCTTCCCGAATCCTTCATCGCGGAGTCATTCGAACACATGAGTCCCATCGGGCCTACCAGTTTGTTTTTCTATGGAAACACACATCTTAAATGTGCTCTATTCTCAAGGAAATCACGAAACACGATAAAAGAAACCAAATTAAACAATCGTTACTCAGTTTACACCTCTCCTAACAATATTCGAATGAGTGTGTTCGAAGAACAACGATGAACTAACAAGGAAGCTAAATTACGTTACCTCTACTCCTATGTGGGTTCCTCTCGAGAGATCCGCTATTACGCTATGATCTACTGGGACTCTGCAAATGAGTTCTTTGACATAGAAATTCTATGAACTAGAGGAAAAATATAATTTTTTGTGACACTCTTTGTGATTTGATTTTGTCGTTCCGAGCTTCTCTCTCTTTCCGATGCTTATACCCAATCATCTTTCCATAATCGCAATAACCGCTTCCACTCCTTCTTTGTCTCCCACATTCTCCATTTCTCTCAATCGTGCAGATAAACTTCCACTTTGTTGCGTGATACTCACGTGCACACGAAACCTCAGGTATGCAAAAACTTGGCACTTCCTCCAGTTCCTCCTTCAGTCCTCTGCCAACGTCCCGCATTTTCCCGGCTAGCCAACTTCTCCTCCTTGCTACTGACCAGCCTAAAAACCACCCTCAATGAATCTGGCTCGAAAACCCTAGTCGAAGCTGCAATCTCGTGTTTCTACCCTATCATGCATAATCCGACCATAGTCTCTTCCGGAATTCCATTTCACATATTACATTGCTTCAAGAATTCTGACCTAAAATCAACCATATAGTACCATTATGCTTTAGTTTAGCCAACTGCTCTCGGGCCCATCCCTCTTATCTCCTGAACTAGAACCTCATCTCCTCCTTAAAACGAACCCAAGATATCTCCATACTAGCCTCTAGATAGGACCTTTCAATCCATTCTCACCATTTGTAGTGAAACACCCTAACCCGGTCGGGTACTACTTTTACTAAAATTCCCTTGATAAATAAAATACTCAAATCTTAAATTGCAACTGGGAAAAGTTTTACTAAATAAAATTTACTGAAAACACGCACTTGTAGTTTAGAGCAAAGCCCTAACACGTGGGCAAGGCAAACTCAATACTTCAAATCTCAAAGTGATCTCCAGTCTATACTCATAATCATAAATGTAAATAACTAATACCCTCTAATGTTGTTGCTACTAAAACCCTTGACTAAGCATCCTCCGTGACACTTACACTGCTCTCCTCTAGCTGGCTGGCCTCGAACTCGCTTCTCACTAACTGCTCCTCTAGCTCCTCTAGCTCTTCAAACTGGTGAGTGAGATGGGGTCAGTCTACGCCCTTACGTTTAACATCTTATTAATACTTGGTCACTTTACTTAACTGAGTGGAAGTTGTTTTGTACTTCCACTATTAAAAAGCTTAACTCTTAAAACTGTAGGGGAGTTACTGTTACTCCACTCTTAAATCTCAAAGCTTGACTTAAATACTTGACTGACACGGGGATCCCTCACTAGCTAGTCAGGTTGCCAACTCATACGTATGAGCAGCAATCCAGGCTTTCCTTAAACTTAAACTTAGTTAGGGAAGTCGTAACGATTCATCCCCCTAACATCTTAAACTTATCGTGGTGGCTCTTCACCACGATTCTCAAGGGCATTATTGCTGCCCATCTTAAAAGTCTCAAGAGCATAACTGCTGCTCTATCTCAAAATGTCTCAAAAGGCAACGGACTGGCGCTAGTGACTAAAAACACATAAAACGACTTCACCTTCTTGAAGGTGAGCTACTTCTTAAAAAGAACTTGTTTCTTAAACTTTAACAATAACTTATACTCATAAAATTTCTTAGTAAATACTAAACATTCACTTCAAGTCATAATCCAAGCAAGACACATATCATCAACCATAAGCACAATCAAACAACCACAGTCACTTCATCAAATACTTAAAACTCGTAATACTTGAAATAACACGTAAGGCGTAGAATTTACCCCCTTTACACTCACCTTACTTCCATCGGAACAAGCTTGATTATGCGCTTTTGCCCTAATTTGCCGACACCTCAGGCCTGGCTAGGTGCCACCTCATGCCTGCTTAATAATGGCTTCCTGCTTAATAATGGTCGCCGTCTACCAATCTCCTGCTGAATCGCCAACCTGCTGAGTTGGATCCTGCTTTCTTGAATATTGACCTACCAATCTCTTGGTTTGTCGCCAGCCTGCTGGGTCGGCTCCTGCTTGCTTCAGTTATGGACCTGCTTGATTGATTAATTTCCTAGTTAGAGCGTAGCCTCCTGCTTGCTTAAGCTAGCACCTCTCGCAGTAGAGACTAATAATCTCCTGCACCCTCAAGCTGCTTTGCCAATCGCAGTTGAGGTAGTGAAACCGAGCCAAAAAGCACTCACCTCCCTTTTCCTCCTGTCGGTCGTCGCTTCATGGTGTGAAATCGACCCAAGAATGCAAAGGAGACTTTTATTTTGTACTTTTTGTCCCACGATCAATCCATCGTCATTCATCAGCAGAGACGTGTAATAATTTTCCCTCCTCTTGCTTGCTTAAGCTGACGTAGTAGAGAGGACTCCGTTGGCCATTGTTCTTCTCCCCATACCGCTTCCTCCTGCTTGCTTAAGCTGGCATAGTAGAGCGGCCCAATACTCGTCATGCCAGCACCCCAATAAGGTCTCGACGGTGGATGAGGCAGCTGTCATCCATTCAAGCCTCATCCTCCACACCTCCCTGCTTGCCGCGCCACCAAGCTGCTCTTCCATAGCAGCGGCATAACCAAGCTCCTCTCATAGTAGAGGGCATGATGATGCTCTCTGCCACTGCGATTTCCCGAGAGCCTTTCAGTGGAACGAAGGCTGCGAGGATTTATTTATTTTGTTTGGCTACTGCCGACTAAGCTTATTAGTCCTGGGTTATTTGTGCAAATTCACACTTGCGGGTGAGTTCCGAGACTCAATTAATGTCCGTAACTTTCTCAATTTATGTCAAAATTTGACACCGCTAGAACCGATAGTTCACCATTTTTCGTCCTCATCGATGATACGGCGGAACTTGACCCAGGGGTATAATAGTCATTTTGACTTTTGGGAAGAGCGGGGTGTAACATTTCCTCCCCCCTTATAACAATTTCGTCCCCGAAATTTGATCGTGCTCATCCTTCCATACTCCTCATTCTCGTGCTTCTTTGGGTCAAGATTTCACTCTTGCTATATGAACTTCAATGGCATGCCCTTACCTTGTCTTGAATAGATTACTATAGTTCTTATATGTACTCTTGACAACAAAAGATATAATAGTCATTTTTACTTTTAGGAAGAGTGGGGTGTAACATTTCCTCCCCCCTTATAACAATTTCGTCCCCGAAATTTGATCGTGCTCATCCTTCCATACTCCTCATTCTCGTGCTTCTTTGGGTCAAGATTTCACTCTTGCTATATGAACTTCAATGGCATGCCCTTACCTTGTCTTGAACAGATTACCATAGTTCTTATATGTACTCTTGACAACAAAAGGTATAATAGTCATTTTGACTTTTGGGAAGAGCGGGGTGTAATACCAGGAAAGAGCAGGAAGGCTAAAGGGAGTTTGACGAGATTTCAAGAAGTCAATGGGTCAAGTCTCAGGTGACTCGAGGTCAAGAAGCTGCACAAAGAGGTACGATGAGGGAAAGCATTACCGAGAAGGAGGAAAAAGAGAAGTTACCTTATCCAAGGTGCCCCACTCTGAGTGGGCGCGACATGGTAGGAGGGCTCCAGGGGGGAAAACTAGTTAAGGATGAAACTGGCACGCTTAGTTAGCCACTAAGAAACCTAACTAAGAGACTAAGTTTATGTACAAGATCGATCAACAAAAGAGACATGGAATGAGTTATGTTAGAGGTTACTGATAGACCGTCATTTACACATGTTTTTACCCCCATTCTTACACCGTTTGAGGTGTTGATTCTCGTGTTTTAGGCCGATTTCACGCTAGGTTGTGCTTGTTTGTGATGTTTCAGGTCCTAGTACGTGAATGAAGGCTTAGGAGCGAGTCTGGGGTCGATTGGACGAAGAACGGACGAATGGCGAGGTTTTTGGGGAGCTGCACGGGCAGACCAGGGAGGCTGCACGGCCGTGCACGTGAGCAATATGGCCGTGCGCCTTATGCCGAGGACACGCACGGGCAACCCCTGAAGCTCGCACGGCCGTGCACCCTGGCCGTGCGAGAGGGCTGAAGTTCGACTAAATGACACGCTGCATTTTGAGTTGCACGGCCAGAATGGTGATATGCACGGCCGTGCACCCTGGCTGTGCGAGTCGGGATTTCCTGGTTTTAAGCCAAATTCCGAACCAAAGAAGAGGGAGAGCTGGGTTTTGGATCCCAAACACCCAAGGGACGAACCCTAGAGAGAGAGAGCGACTTGGGAACATTCTTGGAGCTATTTTGGAGGATTTCTTCGCCATTGGAGCTCGGGAATCAAGCTTGGAGATGGAGATTGAAGATCTAGATCAGATTTCTGCAGTCTCTCTCTTCTCTATGGAGTAACTTCCCTTCACTTAGGTTTTGAGGAACCTTAGTTCCATGAGTTAGGATCTTTCTTGTATGAAGTTTTGGATGTTATATTGTTTGATTATAATCGAATGATGCATGTTTATTGAGTCAATTGAAGTCTGATCAACTTTTCCTGATTCCTGCTGCAATCTGAGATAGATAGAATCTGATTAGGTTGCTAGAGTCTCATCATTCGATAGTAGGAGATTGGCTATACGAGAGTTAGCCAGTTTACTGCTTTGTACTGGAATCCAATTCCAGTAGTGGAGTTCTGTGCTTATTGCTTCAGCTTTCTATCCCGGTGAAGACTAGTCGTCTGCCGGATAGTTAGACTGAGAGGGCTTGGTCAGCTTAAGAGATTCCAAGCTACTGTCGGATCTTCCGCAGTTTAATCAACAGTAAATCAACCAAAAGGAATTACAACTTGGACCTAATTGAGGAGCTAGGGGGAATCATACCTAAGTGAGTTCCCAAACTGTAATTAGTAGTTTTACTTAGTTGAGTTAGTAGAGTAGTTTAGTTAATCAACCCTTAATCTAGTTTGCTAGATAATGAACTGAAGCTGAGTAATAGTAACTCTAGAGACCCGTGGATTCGATATTTATTACTTGTGCCACTATACTGCAGTCCCTTTCATTGGTTACACTTGGCCATTGTTAGGTGTTGTGTTTTGGCGTGTTAAGTTTTTGGCGCCGTTGCCGGGGACTTTCTAGAGTATTAGGAAAGGCAGAAGTTTGTTACTTTAGCGTTTTTCTTTTCTTTTCCACCCTTGCTTTTCACTTGGGTGTTTTTTGTTTTTGTTGGTGCAGATCTGCATCATGGATCCTCATGGCTTCTCCAACCATTGGGGGTATCCACCACCATCCGAGTGGTATTACCCCGAGACTCCCTGGAGCAATCAAGGAGGAGAAGACTATGGATTCGGGTTCCAGTACCAACCCCCTTTCTACGGAGAACAACCAGACCCCTGGGCATATCAAGAACAATCTCCTTATCAAGAAGAATTCCTCCCACAACAAGAAGGGCCATCAGATCTTGAGTTACCCATGGCAGCCTTCACTGGCCACTCTGCAGAGCCATGCTACACTTCACTGGAAGATCCGAACAAACAATTAAGGCTTCTCGTGGAGCAGTTTGCTCGAGACACTGAGAAATCATGCTCCAAGATGGATATTCAAATCAAAGCCCTTGCCACTTCCGATCCCTCATTTCTCCATGATATGGAGGAGACTGTTCAGCGCTCAGCGAAGCAAACAGAGTGGGTGAAGCAAGTTTGCTCACATCTTGCTCAAGATCACCTTTCTGCTGCCACGCTAGAAGAGGTGGAGGATGACAAGGGCTATGGGAGCGTTGAGGAGCATACAGAAGTTATCACAGAGAACTCCCATGATAACCATGATCAGGAAAGTCCTTTGGTTGCAGACCACACCTTTCCTCATTTATGCTCTAACATGTTGGGCCCGTGCGAGGAGATGCAAGATGATCCCATTGAAGAAATTGCTTGGCGACTTGCTCTCCAATCTGTTCTAGAAGAAGAAGAGCGAGCAAGGATGAGGAAGAAAGTTGTGGATGATGAGGAAGAAAGAAAAGAAGAGGTGGTTCTTGATCTTTTCCCAGGGGAGAGACCACATTTTGAAGAAGGAAGGGGGGTTGAGGAAGCAATTGGCGTTCAGGCTGAGGATGAAGTTGAGGTGGAAGAGGCATGCACCGGCCATGAGTTACATTTGATATCTCCACCAAACTTCGAGGAACTACTTAGCAAGGACCCATTTGCAGTGTCTCTTTGCCAAACCAAGGCCACATCGACATCGGTCCCTCTTGGTGGACGCGATGGTGGCCAATCGATGCTGTCATATCTGGTTTGGGGCAATGAGACGAGAGAAGAGAAGAAGAGGTCTCGAGGGTGGAGACTTCATCTGCATCAAGTACATGAGCCTTCATCACCTGCCACACCACATGCTCGTGACTTGAGACTCCACCTCATCGACGAGAACCTCAACTTCAAGGAGGTTCTAGCATGGACCGAAACTTAGGAGCCATCGTCCGGCTCACGACGTGAAAGAAGCGCTTGTTGGGAGGCAACCCAACCAGTCGGTTTGCATTTCTTTCTCTTTTTCTCCTCGGTTGAGTCAGTTTTGTTATTTGATTTTAGAGTCAATAACTCAACCTTTGTGAGATTTTGTGTGGTGTTTGTGTTCTGATTACTCTCTCTTTCTGGAATGCACCGCCTGACCCGTTCATCATCATTCACCCTTGATCTGGTAACTTCGTTCTACCCTCCTTATCTTTCCTCCATTGAGGACAATGTCGTGCTTAAGTGTGGGGGGATGTTCGATTATGTATGCGGGTGAATGTTTGGCTGTTTGTGTGCTTGGAGCCTAGTCCACTGTCCAAATTTTTAAATTTGAGGGCTCCAAGTACGTGTTCCATGCAATTGCCTGCTCAGTATGCTTTGAATTGACAGTCTTTACAGTAATATGCAACCTAGGGAGGTAGTGTAGCACTATGGAGGATGTTGATGCATTTAAGAAGTTATGAGATGACTTGTGCGTCGGTTGACCTCGTAAGCTGCTAAATGATCTAGGAAGTCCTCTACCTACGATCCGGGTTGTTTGTTGCTATAGAGGTCTAGAGAGTTGCATTGGTTTGAGTTAGGTTTGCTTGGGGACAAGCAAACGGTTAAGTGTGGGGGAGTTTGATAGACCGTCATTTACACATGTTTTTACCCCCATTCTTACACCGTTTGAGGTGTTGATTCTCGTGTTTTAGGCCGATTTCACGCTAGGTTGTGCTTGTTTGTGATGTTTCAGGTCCTAGTACGTGAATGAAGGCTTAGGAGCGAGTCTGGGGTTGATTGGACGAAGAACGGACGAATGGCGAGGTTTTTGGGGAGCTGCACGGGCAGACCAGGGAGGCTGAACGGCCGTGCACATGAGCAATATGGCCGTGCACCTTATGCCGAGGACACGCACGGGCAACCCCTAAAGCTCGCACGGCCGTGCACCCTGGCCGTGCGAGAGGGCTGAAGTTCGACTAAATGACACGCTGCGTTTTGAGTTGCACGGCCAGAATGGTGATATGCACGGCCGTGCACCCTGGCTGTGCGAGTCGGGATTTCTTGGTTTTAAGCCAAATTCCGAACCAAAGAAGAGGGAGAGCTGGGTTTTGGATCCCAAACACCCAAGGGACGAACCCTAGAGAGAGAGAGCGACTTGGGAACATTCTTGGAGCT